CCTCAAGAGACAACACAACGTACGTGTCGCCCTATCCATGAGCCTAGCTGGCCTGCCGCAGTTTGGTAAATGTTTCAATACCACTTGTTTCGTGGTTTCATTGCTATATAGACTGCTTATTGAGGCGAGTATTCAAACAAGAGGATGCTGAAATTAATCCTTGAGCATCCATTACCACCAGTGTCCTCGCAACATGAAACAAGCCTAGTTCGCTAGGCTCATGTTGTATGTAGGATCGATGGCGTAGAGGACAGGGTGACACGTACGTTGTGTCACCCTATCCTCGAGGGTCATCAAGTGATAGCACACTTCGAACTTCCCAAACCCAAGTATAAACTCCGTATCCCACACGACGGAGGAGATCCACTTCTCCTCCAGTATGGGAAGGCCATTACTGAGACACTCCTCCCTGACTTGTGCAGTTTTGTAACAAGTGACGATTTATTGAGATTACTTTTTGTTCAAAAATTGATAACTCTTTCCTCATGTCATCAATAAACATAAACAGTAGGTTGAAACACTTATCTAAATAGGAAAAATGATTATTATCATCATTATTATTATTATAATTAGTAGTAGTAGCAGCAATATTAGTACAGATATTAGTAATAGCTAAATTCTTTGGCGTGATTCAGCACCTGGGGAATGTGAGGTTTGCCTGGAGTTTACCTGGAGAGGGTTCCGGAGGTCAGTGCCCTCACGGGTCGGTCTGAGACCAGGCCTCATGGTGGATCAGTGCCTGATCAACCAGGCTATTACCGCCGGCCGCACGCAAACTGACGTACGAACCACAGCCCGGTTGGTCAGGTACTGACTTTAGGTGCCTGTCCAGTGCCTTCTTGAAGACAGCCAGGGGTCTATTGGTAATCCCCCCTTATGTATGCTGGGAGGCAGTTGAACAGTCTTGGGCCCCGGACACTTATCGTGTTCTCTCTCAATATACTCGTGGCGCCCCTGCTTTTCATCGGCGAAATGTTGCATCTCCTGCCGAGTCTTTTGCTTTCACAGGCAGTGATTTTTGTGTGCAAGTTTGGTACCAATCCCTCCAGGACCTTCCAAGTGTATATGTATCTCTCTCGCCTGTGTTCCAGGAAATACAGATCAAGGACCTTGAACCGTTCCCAGTAATTTAGATGCCTTATCGTATTTAGGTAGTCAGGTTTGATCCAAGGAAGAGAATGGTAGCTCTTTCCTTGAATTAGGAGCCTTTTCCCGGCATCGTAGGTGCGATACGGTCCTTCCTAGAACCTTTTATTTAGGGTCAAGTGAACAGTGGCAGCCGGTGTTAGGATACTTTCCCATTCTTCTCACCATGCCCAGGATGCCTTCCACCACAGGTCAACTAGCTTACTGCTAGGCCAATATGGGAATCATCAGATGTTAAAAGATTTGTCACTACATCTTAGTGATTACGTCTTAATTTCATCTTGTCGGTATTATATACCATTCTTGTACTACTACTACTACTACTACTACTACCACCATCACCTCTTCCTGCCTATATATAGCCGTCCTGCTCCACTTCTGGTTAGTGTGACTTTGTCAATGGTCCAAGTCGGACCGAAACGTCGTCGTAAGCTCCTCTCTTTTATGTCCGGGTTATTTGTGTATTGCCTAACTTCTTGCTAAAATGACTCCAGTCTGTACTGATTATTATTATTATTATAATCAAGGGGAAGCGCTAAACCCGTAGGATTATACAGCGCCTGGGGGGGGGATGTGGAAGGCATTCAGGCTTAATTCGGGGAACTGGAGCACAGATCCAATTCCCTAAATCAAGAGCCCCTCACCAACATCAAGGAACCTTCCCTGAGGGGAGTCTGTACTGAATCATGGTATTTTCACTCTCGGTTGGGCTCTGTGTAGAGCTTTACCATGTTTGTCTTCATGTAGACCTATATTATATATTTTGTTTCGTCTTATGTAGAACTATATCCAGTCACTTTTCGTCTTTGTAGAGCTTTATCATGTCATGTTTGACTTTATAGTGCTTTATCAATTAATGATTAAGTTCTACGCGGAGTGAAACGTTGTCCATCTGCCCTGATTCATTATCCAGTTATGTTCTCTCTCACTGATTCATTATTCACCAATATTCTCTCTCACTAATCCATTATCCGCCCTCTCACTAATTCATTATGCTCATATAGTCATGATCTCTCTCAGTGATGTATAATCCAATGGATCTACAGTGTTCCTACGGATGAAGCTCAAATCTTTAACACCAGTGGAACTGGAACTGACCTTCCCTTCCTGGAATCGAATCTGATTATGTCCCGTTCCCTCAAGTGCAGCATGGCGGCTACAAATTTAGCGTTCTCCTATAAATGTTTGAATCTGTTTTGCAAAGAAGTGCCAGATCGATCAGGCTCTTACTGTCATCGGACCGTAGGTAGCAACAGACTTCGAGATTCAAACTTTTTTGAGCCTTACACAATATTCAATAGTTGAGCCTACAGGTTCGACTATTGAGTTCACAGAATGCCTTGTCAGAATGCCTTCAAATTTTCCACCCTGGTTAACTCTAATTAAAGAAATGTTTGTAGAACATTTGACATGTACAGAACATGTACCTGTACATGTCATGTACAGTACATGTACAGGTGTTCCCTGCTCTGTTTTATAATGACCATTTCCAGTTATGGTTTCCATGTGAACTGTAGAAAACCTTTCCAGATCGGCTTCGAAATTTCGACACTGGTGAATACTGCAAAGAAACAGGTTACTATTGTTACTAGATTGTGTAGGTTTCACATCGCCTGTGTTAAATTCGAAACGATATATAAATTTTTTGCATTAAATAACTAGAGTATACCTTGACACTGGTGAGAGGCTCTTGATCCAAAAATCTGGATGTATCCTATATGACTAACGTCAGATTTGTACATATCCCCGATTAAAAAAAAAAAAATCCTTCTGGATGATAAAGCTTGTAAAATGATAAAGTTCTTTTTTTTTTTTTGTAACTATGTAGGTGCAAATTTCTGGAGTAATATACCTGATAAAGTTGAGATTAGTGAATTCACTGCAATAACTGGAGAACATATTGTCTGGTCAGCTTGAATTTTCCTATTGCTGATGTGTTTCCTTCATAGTTTTCTCTTGTAAAGAAATTCGCTTCCCAGAAATGGGAGAATGTCTCTTCTGATTACAAATAAGTGAATGCTTTATTTATGTAGATTTATTCTAGGATAACACAATAACGTAATTTTTATGTGCCAATAACGTTGTAACCTTACGACCAATTTAAAACAAATTGCAATGTAATTTAGTGAATTTATTTTGGCTTGTGTTGGTCACCATTTTTGCATTTAAGGAAGAAATTTAGAAGAATTTAAATGCTTTTGTCATGGGATAATTTACGAGTACTTCACCCGATTAGCTTTAACCTTTCAGCTTCACTTCAGCTTACTTTCAATTTAGCTTCCCCCGATCTTCAGCTTAGGTTTAAACCTGGTATTTCTTAGTGGGTTTGAATTAGATTTGGGTTGTGTAAGCAACAATTTGCCATTTTTATTGAGGAAATTGTAATACTAGTTGTTATTGATTAAATACCACTCGTTCTTAGTCACAATAATATATATACTGCTCCTGGAGGCTAGTATACCAAACGGGGAGTAGAATGAAATTAGCTCAGAGGCACCCATACCACCTTGTGTCCTCGGATCAAGGTAAAACACCTAGCTCTGCTGGGTGCTTGATTCTTGTAGGATTTGGTGGTCCTGTGGGTTAGAGCGTCATGTGATTTTCGCATACAATGAGGAAGGCCAAAACGACATGGGTTCGAGTCCTTGACTGGTCGCAGTGTTGTTATTGATTAAATACCACTCGTTTGTGATCACAAATATATATATATATATATATATATATATATATATATATATATATATATATATATATATATATATATATATATATATATACATATATACATGCAATAAGATCACAGTAAACAGGTGATTTCAGAATATGCAAAACAACCACTGTGAAAGAATAGAGAAATTCCAAGCGCTTTCGTGACTACTCACATTATCAAGGATGCTTTACTTTCATAGTTCCTTGATAATGTGAGTAGTCACGAAAGCGCTTGGAATTTCTCTGTTCTTTCACAGTGGTTGTTTTGCACACACACACACACACACACACACACACACACACACACACACACACACACACACACACACACATATATATATATATATATATATATATATATATATATATATATATATATATATATATATATATATATATATATATATATATATATATTTATATATATATATATATATATATATATATATATATATATATATATATATTATATAATATATATATATACATATATATATAATAATAATAATAATAATAATAATAATCTTTACTTCTACAAGTACATGCACAAGGTATACAGGCCTAGTTGACATCACTGATATACTACTATACAGAAAGCCCTTTATTATGCAGAGCATTTGATGCAAATTAGATCAATTTTACCCCAGGATGCAACTCATACCAGTCGGCTAATACCCAAGTACCTATTTTACTGATAGTTGAACATGGACAGTAGGCGCCTTAAAGAAACAGACTAATGTTTCCACCCGTACCGGGTCAAATAACATATACTAAGTTTATACTGAGAGTTCATAATTTTTGGCAGGTGAGAAAAGACTGAGATCTTCATAAAGCTTTTTTTTGGAGTTATATCAGCGTTTCGGTGATAAATTCATTACCATCATCAAGACTCAATTATGCAAGACGATATAATAATGCACAAACTGCAGTGCATAATAGATATTGCAATACCACATTAGGAAAACCACTAGAAATGTCAGATGAGATAAACAAACCAGTGTTGGTCATCCCTCCATCATATCGGCAGCTTCTGTCCATGATAAACCACGACGCCGAAGAGCTGATAGTTTACTAACATCCCTGTTTTATAAACTATGACTTCCCGTGCGATAAGACGGAAAGAACAACCCTAATGACCTCTCATTATATTATTACTATACGGTGTTTCTTCAGCTCTCCTACCGATACATTGCGAACTGTGTTCTACACACCTTCTTCACACTCCGTAACAGGTGTTATGCACTCTGAAACAGGTGTTATGCACCCTGAAACAAGTGTTATGCACTCTGTAACAGGTATTATGCACTCTGTAAATGGTGTTCTACATACTAGGTACTGTTTACTTTTATTTTCGTTATGTAGTGCATCAATTTAAAGTAATTTATTTGAAAATATATCTCTGTCGTGAGCAGCGGGAGAGGAGGAGGAGGAATATCGACATGTTTCTAGGGACTGATGCGCACTTGACCACGAAATACAACACAGCAAGCTGGTGATTTTGGTTAGTCAGCCCATCGTTCTGCCACTGAACTTCAGTTACGTAGGAGGTGCCAACTGGAATTCCTTTTCCCAGCGTACGTCAGTTTGTGAGCAGACGGACCCCGCTGAGGAGGCAGGTGTGGCTGGTGATGGAAGCTGAGAGAGGCAGGTGGACCCAGAAGAGAGGTGGAGCCATGGCGTCAACATTGACGTGTACAGGCGTCCGGTGAACTGAAAGGAAAAGCGGAAATATTAGTGATTTTGGGAGCAGATCGTCCGAGATACATCTGAATACATGTGTTAAAATCTAAGGATGGTTTGACATCCTCGTTTTGCACCTTCTCATCTTGTCAAGATGTGAGGGTGCAAATACAATATATGATTATTTATTGACAACGTTCCGCCCACATAGTAGGCTTTAACAAGTCACACACAGATCAACATGGGGAGAGAGGATGTGCACATACATGGTGAACGTAGTGACATGAAGAGCCAGGTGAGGTATGTAGAAATTGATTTCTTGGTTGAATATTGACAGGGTGAACAGCCATATAATTGTTAATCTTGCCATTAATCTACTCAAGAAGTCAGCTTTATCTTTGACTTGATAAAGTCCACTGTGTGGGCGGAACGTTGTCAACAAAGGATCTCATTATACCGCATTTGTCTCTTTGTTCATCGTGTCAGTATTTTATATCATTTCTTTCCATCCTGTCAAGGCCCTACAAGTTAATAAACAAAACACAACACTAGAATATTTATTAGGGAGTCGTTTCACTCCGAGCTCCGTCAGTTCAATGAATGGAATGACAAAACTCGCAGTGCCAGTGACTTATTTACATGTTTAGCAATGTTTGAGCATGACAGTTCTCACCTCTGCCCGATTTCTTGATCATCTTCTTGACCCTCGGGGTGTACTGCATGACACTGAGGTCGATAGTGCTGGAAGTTGGGATACTGGATCCCAGCTCCTCTGTCATGACTTCCTCGGAGGCTGGGTCCCACAGGGCCCCAAGTAACACCAGCTTCTCCAGTACCAGCGTCGTGCTCTCGTCCTCCTCACTCACAGCTTTTCCTTCAGCTTCACCTCCTTTAGCAGCCAGGCTTGTACACAGCGCTTTGGTGGCCACCACTACCTCTAACCCTGCCGCCTGCAGCTCACCCCAGCAGCTGCGGGCTGCCGCCGCCCACATTGCTGCAGGTTCCCTCAGCAGACCTAGTCGTATGGTCCGTGGTGGTTCAGCTCTGCTAATCATATTATATAGGAAGTTACCTCTTGCTTTCAGTCTTTCTAATTTAACTACAATCTTTTGTAGCTTATCATCTTCATGTGTAATGTCTAGGTCTGGCACACTGGCCTCCAATACGTCTAATAAAGTATTTAGGTCAGTGCAAACTTTAAGCTTTGTAGCTACATTTTCCGACGTTTTTATAAACTCGTCTAGCTCTTGCTTTAGAACTGACTGAAAAGGTCTATGAACTTTTATATTTTTAATTTTCTTATATTTTTTCGTACTGAAACGTTTTGACCAATCAATTTCTTGAATGTACTGGGCGAATCTTGGATTTTCATTGATAGTTTGCAGAGCAATGCTGATATCCCTGGCTTCATCCCTTTGGTTCTTTAGGATAACCATTGGTGCCACACCGGTCAGAGAGACATTTTGAGCCAGGTAGATGAACTCCATCTGTGCAAAGTGATCCTCCAGAGAGGTGGCCTTCGGCACTGCGAAGTGAGTAAGAGACGAGACTCTTCCTGGAACATTTTCTATAGCTTCAGAAGCTAGGTAGACATGCAAGAGTAGGGAGAGAACACTGTGACTTTCCTCAGTCAGTGCTCCCGAGACATATATATCAGAGATGCCAGATGTGAGAGATGAAAGGATGCTGCTGTTTGGAGCAGAACTACCGCTCATCAGAGTTCGCAGTAAATTCTCTGCCTCCTCCCACTGAGTGTCTCCCAGTGTCTGAGCAACAGGAGTGCTGTTGTTCTCCAGTGTCTGGCGTGTCACGAAGGCAATGTGGAAAAGAGCAAGACTAAGAAGGCACCACTTGCTCCACTCATTGTTATAAGCTGACAGGCGACTCTCTCCGACGAGTTCATACAAATGCCGAAGAGACTCTTTGATTGTTGATGGTAAACATAAAAAGACTTTATGACAGGAAGTCATTAGACTAACTGGCAGTTCATCATCATTGTTAAAGTACATCCATACCTGAAATCGTTTATTTGCTGTTTTTATCAAGTCATCCTTAAGAAGTTCGTTCAGACAGTTAATACACGAGGCAGCCTCTGTGTTCTTTTTGAGGAGAAACCAGTAACCTTTCTGAACACAACGCTTGAGCCGCAAGCTGAGAGTCTCCTCCCTGCCTTGGCCAAGAGTCAAGACGTCCAGTGACTCTGGATCAGATGTCAAAACAGGATGACAGAGTGGCTGCACTTGTTGCAGGATGTACTCCACGTCCAGTGGCTCTGAGCTGTACACAATAATAGGTTCAGAGGCGATACCTTTGCTTGCAACAGAAAGGAGAGCCTTAGCTGTGGCCTCACTTGCCTCTTGTTTTAGAACTCGCTGAACGTATAACATGGCTGCTTCATCCAGACGGTCTGACCTCAAGCACTTGATGAGAATAAGCTTAGCGAAGCCACGTATTTTCCTTTCCATTTTCTTGGGAAGCGTTATTGTCTCGGGCTGTTCAGTGATGTACCACACACGCCACAAATTTTCGTAGGTTATCATATGGTCGGGCAGGTCACAAAACGGCTCTGTAGATGACAGAGTCAGCACATGAACCCACTGCCGCTCAGTGAGCCACTTAGGACGCGATGTTGTTGATAGTTTGGGCTCTGAAAACTGTGTGGGAGAGTTGTGGCACCCAGGGTTGAGGCGAGATCGCAAGTCTACAGGAGTGTACGGAGGACCTGCCTGGAGTATCAGCGGTGTGTACAGGAGAGAGCAAAACTGTGGCGTCAACATTCCGAGGTGACATTCATACCACATCGCCAGTATGAGTCCCACTGTCACCAGGGATATCCGGCTCACCTGCTCCTGTAGGTGCCTGAAAGCAATAAGAAAATATTAGTAAGATAACGTAACAATAATTCAGGATACTAAAAAATATTTCTTAAAAAATAACAAAATCTGGATAAAATAGGTTGCTTTTGTGAATTTTTCCCATGAAATCAGCCATTTAGTAGGACGTTGCCTTCTTAAGATGGTGCTGATGCATTGTTACATTACTATGGCAGAAGTCACTGACCTGTATAAAGACTGGAGCATTTTAATGACTGTGTTACTCTCCAGCATCCTTCCCCATGAGAAAGAGAAGCTCTGAGGTTGCATATCGTTGATGATGAGGCTGCTGAAACGTTCTATTCCTATCGTGAGGGATGGCTGCAGGCGGGGAAAGCGTTCCACAATTAAGTATAGTCGCGTCATCAGTTCTGCTATTTTCCTATAAGTGTTATTTCCATCCCTGGCTAAATCAAGCGTTTTACGGAGGTCAAGACATTTCTTTTTCGCCTCGGCTGCTTTTGCACACGCAGCCTGAAGCATTTCCATCAAGGCACTCTCCTCCAAAACATCGTCATCGAAACGGGACATAAGATTCCTGATTGTCTCTTCCTGCTCTGAGAGTTGCTTCTGTCGGTCGAGCAAGTCCCACTCACTCTTCTTCAAAGCCTCTGCCAGGTCGGGCTGACAGTGAGAGGCCACTCTATCCGTCAGGAGAATCTCCAGACCTTCCTGCTGACTCTCCATGTTCACTACATTAACCAAAGTTTTGATATTATTACTGATACGAGTTTCTCGCTCTTTTAATAATATTACAAGCTTAAAATTATCGTGAACATTTATCTTTTTCTCGCCGACTTGAATGATATTTTTATTTATTTGATCATCGGATCTCGCTAGCTCCATTTTAAGAATTTGAAGAATGTGAATAGGCAGCGAGAGCTCTTCTTGTATTAAGACACACGTTATCCCTTTCTTCATAATATCCTCAAGTTCGACGATATAATCATTTTTATTAAGATCAACTTCCACTGAATCCTTCCATTTGCGGATCCACTTTCTAGTACGCAGTGGGGATCCAGGATGAGCTGAGGGAGCCTGGAGTTACAGATGACAGCAGCATTCTCCAGGGAAAATATATCTATAGGTAGGCATTCCTCGTGCCACTTTACCCGAGACTCCAACGGAGCCAAAATATCCAAAACATTTCTTTCTTTGGTGTAAAAAATGCACATTTCATCCATCTTATTTTGCCAGTCTTTAATGACCCTCTGTCGTTCATTGTAAGTAAATTCTCCAATATATGTCACAAAACCTGCAGCTAATACTGCATCACCAAATATATTGCGGAGCTTTACGCTACAGTGAGACAGAGATTCCTCCCAGTGTATCTTGTTTTCTCCCAGTTGTGCCATAACCTTCTGGGCGAGTTGTATTCTTCCCTCCAAAACCTTCATCTCCTCTTCAGCAGCCTCCAGTTGCTGTTCCTTTTCCTTCAGCTGTGCCATAAGGATTTGATGCTCCATTCCGAACCCAGCCAGATCTTGTTCGTATTGCTTAATAGCTTCTTCCGTTGCTTCAATGTCCCTGCCAATGATGTCTGCCTGAACTTTCAGAGGATGGTAGTCCTTGTACACCCTGACGTACTTTTCAAATGAGTGTAGCCAGTTCAGGAAAGTTGCACATGTAAAAGATTCTTCTGTAACTTTGTCAATATTTAATTCTTCCATTTTCAGGTACGACTGGATTTTCAGTAAATTTTTTTCGCTTGTGTCCTCAACAGAAATTTTTCTAATGGAGGAAATAAAATTTAATCCATTCGCCATTTGCTTTTTGGCTTCGTTCCACGATGGGTCTAATCCAAGTGTCATTAATACAGCATCGAATACTAATTCGACACATTTTGGTGGCCTCCCAAGACTTTTCAAAATTTCAAATTCTGCTTTTGTTATACGATCTAACTTGCGATGAATGGCTTTCATTTCCAGCTTAGGAGCAGTGAGGTCACGGCTTATAAGTTCTCCTATTCTAGTTGACTCGTCCTTCTGTCTCTTCAAGAGCACAGCATTCTTGGCCAGGTCCTTCTCCAGCCTCCCCTGCTCAGACTTGATGTTCCTCATCTTGAGAACAACACCTCCGCATGATTGCTGTATGTAGGTAACTTGAGCTCGCTGCTCCTCCAGCTGGTTGGACAGCTCTAACACTCGCTTCTGAGTGTCTTCAAACTTTACAATGCTTGTCTTAAGTCTTTCCTTATCCTTAATAATATCACTGAACAATTTGTCATGCACTTGCAGGAACATTGTCAAAAATTCTAAGAATCTTGCAGAAGGATTTGAACCAGTGTCGCAGTGTATAATGGCCATTATTTCTGCTACAGATTGTACCTTCATCTCCGTGAGGTTTTCTCCCAGATTTTCTAAAATAATTTGCTTGCCAATGCTGTGAAGGTCTGCCATACACCATTCGTGGAAAGTGTCAACGCTGAAGAAAACGGATACTGCTGGTAAGTATTTCAGAATCTCATGGGCTTCTTCCAGGGAAGGAACACATATGCAAACTTTAAGGTAAGCTTGCCACTCGCTTGCCTTCTCTGTATATTGCTGCTCTACAAGCAAATCGTTCAAAAATTTCAGATTCCGCACATTCTCTACAATATTCCAGTCAATGATAGCAAGAACAGGTATTCTCAGCTTTAAA